TATTTGTTTTATGAACATGATGAAAATATCATATCATTTTTCCATACTATATCTGTTATTGTTTCAAAATAAATGTGAGAGTGTGTGTGTGAAGGAATAATAGATCAATAAATAATTATTTGTAAATATAAATAAATAAATATTATACTAACCTTTATGTAAACAATAACTTTTTTTTATAGTTGTAGAATAGGCTTCCCATAAAATAATAATTTTATCACAACCGGCAGTAATAATTAAAGATCCTGATGGGTTCCATTTTATTCTGGTAACAGAATTTTTATTAAAATCTAATATTGTTTTTAAACAACCTCGATCTGTCCAAATTTTGGGTACACCTCTAAAATATGATGCTGCTATGAGTTTTCCATTTGGCTACAATAATAATAATAAAAGCTTTCTTAATAATATTGTATAAATGTTAATTTGAAAATAAAATTTTTAAATGTTTCTCTGAATGCTTACACTCCAATCTACTGAACATATAAAATTATCATAGTAAAACTCGTCATTTCCCATTTTTAAAGCATCAGTAAAATTTCCTTGATGATCGGTTTTCCAGATTCTCAAAACAGAATCACGACCTCTAAATTAACAATTAACTTATTAATAAACATTTAAAATAAATAAATTACATAATAATGTAAGAAAACTCACGCAGTAGCCAAGACATTTGGATCATTAGGATGCCATTTACAAAAATAAACTTCGCCAACATGCCCTTCAAGTGTTGTATATTCATCATCAATTAATGGTTTTATTATTTCTTTTATAATAGGTAAAAAATTATTATTGAATTATATACACTTGGCGAGAAGAAATAAAATAATAAACACCATACATACCACTTGATGAAGTTGTTGTTGTTTCATTAATGGAATGTCTTGTTATTGGGATTTCATTGTTTATATTAACAGGGTCTAGTAATAAAGTGTGTAGATCAAATGGGAAAACGTGCCTAATGTGATCGACATCTACAAATAACTATTTTTTTTTAGAAAGTTTTATAAATAAATGTCTGTAAAATTTACAGCACAAGAACTTAATTATCTTATCTATAGATATTTAGAAGAATCAGGTTAATGTTAAAATATTGTTTGATTGATTGGAAGGAATCAAGATTATCTATCTATCTTTACTTTTTTGTAAAAAATAACTCATATATAATAAAATATACTTGATACCAACTAGGTTTCAAATTAACAACTCTTGCTTTTAAAACTGAAACACAAATTGACAAGCTAGAGATTAATCCAGAAGATGTTCAACGTGGTGCATTAATAACTTATATTTTAAAAGGTTTACAATATCGGGATATAGAAGTACATTCTAATCCAGTAAGAATAAAAAAAATTAGTTTTAATATACATATATTTTATTTATTTATTTATGCATATATGCTTTTAATTCTATTGTTAGGACGGTACCATAACTAACTGTGAAGCAATTGTGCCTTTGATTGGTAAACATGCTTGTAAAAGATCCATGGATCCTGAACCACTAGTCATCACCACTTCAATACCTAATTCTTATAAAACAAATGAAGCAAATCAAAATTTAAATGATGATTTAGCTAAACAACAATCTCAAAAGGACTTAGCAAAAAATCAATGTAATCATTACATTGCAGCAGTTTGATATAATAATAAATCTACTATTATGTTATATATATATATATATACCTTATATAAATATTAAATCAAATCCATCATTATCGTTTTCAATCATTGTTATTAGCAGGCAAAAAAGTTGCACAAAAACAAATTAAATCTAACAAAAGGCTTAAAAAGTTATACAAGTAATGATATTTCGTTAAATAACCTTGATTTCAACTCTATTCTCTTAAATGTTGATTTTGATAATGTGAATAAAAAATTTCATTATTAATTTATTGCATCAATTATACGGGTACGTATTACTTTATCGACAATCATTTTACTATTACCGACAACACGCAGTACACCATTTTAGCATTTCATTAGTTGTTTGATTATGTGGAGGTTAAATGTAACCCCCCAAGTTGTCAGTAAAATGAACTGTCGGTAAAATGATTGTCGGTAAAATGAATGCCTCCCAATTATACTTTATAATATATTATATATTTACTCTATTGTTAAATTTAAATCAATAAAAGTAATTTTGCATCTATATCAAATGAACTAACTACATATGTAAACTCGATAAAGTCGGTCATGTCGGGGCGGACCCTGTGACCGACTTATCGAGAGAACCGAGTTATCGAATTTCACGTGATTTTTTAATTTTTTAATTCATCTTTTATTTCAAACATTAGAAGGTTGTGAAATCAACCTTTTTTATACATATTTCTGAACATAATAAAATTTAATAGGAATACAAATGTATTTCTTCAAAATAGATAATCAATGATATAAGTAATGATATAAAAATGATGATATAAAAATGAGATAAAAAAATGTAGATGTATTGTTCGCGATTAGACAAGAATGTTATCTAAATTCTTGATGATATAACTGATGAGATAATATATTAATGCATTATTCATGATAAATGTATGATACAATCGATGATATAACTGCTGAGATAACAAAATATTAATGTATCACTCATGATAAATCATCAAATGATTAAAGTGAAAAAAGATCTCTTTTTAAAATTACTTGACAAGAAAAAATGGATGTGATTATGCATTATAACTAATGGAGGTAATAAAATATAAACGTAGTTCACAAGTGAGGATGCTCACTTCCTTCTAAATTAAAAAATGAACAATAAAGATAGTTTTTTTACATCAGATATTTTATTACAAATAATCATTTTGTTAATACTAATGACGAATAAAAATTATTAAATCACACATTACTAAAATAGTAATGACCCTTCACATGAGACCGACTTATCGTGATTCATTTAATTATACTTGGGCTAAGTGATTGACCGATTTAGCGCTTATCGCGCGACTTTATATATATTGACCAACTTATCAAATAGTAAAAAAAAGGGGAGAAACTTTTTGGCCGAGTAGTTTATGTCATTCAGTGCAATATAAAAGTAATCTTGCTTTCAAAGATATAGATATCCTAAAAAATTTTGATAGCTTATGAATGACCTTAGCTTTAAAACTTACGGGTTAGAATTTTTTTAATATTTGCATAAAAAAATCTCGTATAAACTATTATTTAAGTAAAGATCAGCGGTTTAACCAAATTCTTGTTTAATATTAATCATTCCTTTTGGGTTCATTCTGCTTTTTTAAACAATAATGTTGTTCATAGTTTAACGTGACTTTCTTCGTTGTTAACAATTATAGATATAATAAAGTATAATAATAATGTTATTAAATTCAATTTTATTATGAAACGTAAGCTATGAAAATTTTTTACAGCATAAAAAATCATGCATGATTGTACATTGGACAACCACGCGAAATCATTGGTCCCTGATGCGAATGTAATTCGATTGTGCCATGTGATTTATAGTAATAAATACGTGTTTATACTTTGAACAAATCAAAAAAAAAAAATTTTTTCGATCATGTATTTTGATTTATTAAGAGAAGAAATGACGATGACAACTCAAGATTCTATGAATTTTTTACTATCAACAACTCTAACTTCAAATAAAAACACAAACAATAATATTCTATGTAGATTTGGAGAAAATTGTGCTAATGTTAATTGTATATTTGCACATTTAAGCCCTGCAACGTTTGGTATAACTGGCTCATCAATAAATAAATACAATATTGCTGTTATTGATTCACCTTGTAAATTTGGAAGTTATTGCACAAATCCAAAATGTCGATATTCACATCCCTCCCCTGCTTCATGTAAAGTTTTTTTTTAGAAAAAAATACTTACAAATATATATGTATATATATATATATATATACTTATTTATTCTGTTGATACTGTTTAGTAATATCACAAGAACCGTGTAGATTTTATCCAAATTGTCAAAATCAACATTTAAGAGAATAGAGTTGAAATCAAGGTTATTTAACGAAATATCATTACTTGTATAACTTTTTAAGCCTTTTGTTTTAGAAACCTTTTCTTTAATATTCTACTTGTATGATATGCAATCTGGATGTCATTTGTGTATTTGTGTACTTGTATTTTATTAATTCGTGATCCACAATATGTAGTAATAAAGTGTGTAGATCAAATGGGAAAACGTGCCTAATGTGATCGACATCTACAAATAACTATTTTTTTTTAGAAAGTTTTATAAATAAATGTCTGTAAAATTTACAGCACAAGAACTTAATTATCTTATCTATAGATATTTAGAAGAATCAGGTTAATGTTAAAATATTGTTTGATTGATTGGAAGGAATCAAGATTATCTATCTATCTTTACTTTTTTGTAAAAAATAACTCATATATAATAAAATATACTTGATACCAACTAGGTTTCAAATTAACAACTCTTGCTTTTAAAACTGAAACACAAATTGACAAGCTAGAGATTAATCCAGAAGATGTTCAACGTGGTGCATTAATAACTTATATTTTAAAAGGTTTACAATATCGGGATATAGAAGTACATTCTAATCCAGTAAGAATAAAAAAAATTAGTTTTAATATACATATATTTTATTTATTTATTTATGCATATATGCTTTTAATTCTATTGTTAGGACGGTACCATAACTAACTGTGAAGCAATTGTGCCTTTGATTGGTAAACATGCTTGTAAAAGATCCATGGATCCTGAACCACTAGTCATCACCACTTCAATACCTAATTCTTATAAAACAAATGAAGCAAATCAAAATTTAAATGATGATTTAGCTAAACAACAATCTCAAAAGGACTTAGCAAAAAATCAATGTAATCATTACATTGCAGCAGTTTGATATAATAATAAATCTACTATTATGTTATATATATATATATATACCTTATATAAATATTAAATCAAATCCATCATTATCGTTTTCAATCATTGTTATTAGCAGGCAAAAAAGTTGCACAAAAACAAATTAAATCTAACAAAAATCAAATAGATTCAATAGATTCACCTGAATTAGTAAAAAAATCTCAAGGAGAATTAAATAAAATTACTTCAAGTAAGAATAATTATTACTATGAATAATTGGATCATGCAAAATAATAATATTTGTTTGGTTTTTTTTTAGTTTCTAAAAGATCAATACGTAAAGTATTAACTTCAAAAACTAAAAAGGATCAAGATTCTTTGCCTTCCTTACAAGACACCGCTACTATCAACAACTAACTCCCAATAACAAGACATTCCATTAATGAAACAACAACAACTTCATCAAGTGGTATGTATGGTGTTTATTATTTTATTTCTTCTCGCCAAGTGTATATAATTCAATAATAATTTTTTACCTATTATAAAAGAAATAATAAAACCATTAATTGATGATGAATATACAACACTTGAAGGGCATGTTGGCGAAGTTTATTTTTGTAAATGGCATCCTAATGATCCAAATGTCTTGGCTACTGCGTGAGTTTTCTTACATTATTATGTAATTTATTTATTTTAAATGTTTATTAATAAGTTAATTGTTAATTTAGAGGTCGTGATTCTGTTTTGAGAATCTGGAAAACCGATCATCAAGGAAATTTTACTGATGCTTTAAAAATGGGAAATGACGAGTTTTACTATGATAATTTTATATGTTCAGTAGATTGGAGTGTAAGCATTCAGAGAAACATTTAAAAATTTTATTTTCAAATTAACATTTATACAATATTATTAAGAAAGCTTTTATTATTATTATTGTAGCCAAATGGAAAACTCATAGCAGCATCATATTTTAGAGGTGTACCCAAAATTTGGACAGATCGAGGTTGTTTA